GAGGGGGCAGGACCGGGGGAGGGATCTGCAGGAGCTTAAGCCCTTGATCAAACCACACCTTTAAGCTTCCAACTACCCCCTGAGTCCTGCCCCAAGACCAAAATCCTTTCAGGACCTGAATGGGGCCAAACTGGCACTTTCATGCAGCTGCAGTGCTCGGCCATGCTTGGGCTGCTCCCGCAGGGTCCCAGGCAGCCTTTTCCCACCGGCCACACTCATCCCGCCAGTGCCCACACCTCCCAGCCCCCCCCCCCAGTCTCCGCTCCGCTGCTCTGGGTGCACCGGGTCATGATGGTGCCCCCTGCCCGCACTGCCTGCAGTGGCCCCCATCCCGGGCCTGGCTGGATGGGAGCCCATGGCATGGCCATGCTTAATTACCAGGTAGGGAGTGGAGCAGGGCGGCATCGCTCACGCACAGCTTGGAGCCACTCAGTCATCCCAAAGGCATCCGCCCCACAGGGAGGAGTGTCCCAGCCCAGCATGTAAAAGCAGCCCCGCACGGCCGGCTGCCTTGTCGCCTCGGAGCCTCCTCTGCTCCTACTCCTCCTCACCGCCCGGCACGGCTGCAGCGTCATGGCAGGGCACGGCGCCAGCCTGCTCCTGCTCCTGGGTCTCATGCCAGGTAGGCACTGAAGGATCCCTGCACTTGGACCTGCTCCTGCAGCAATGCCACCAAGGATGAAGGGGTCCCTGCCCGGCCGCGGGGCACCCCATGGTGCCAGATGCACCCCATGGTCAGCAGAGCACGCAGCTGGGGCTCGTCCTGCCCCGACACCCACCTGTGTTGGCCAGAGCTGGGCGGGTGGCATTGAGCCTGCCATGTCCCTTTGTCCCCGATGTAACTTCACAGGACCCAGCGGATGCCAGTCCTGATGGGTGCTCAACCCCACTGGGACACTGAGCCCCTGTGGGTGCCTGACCCTGCAGATGGGTCCCTGCCGTGTCCCTGCTCCCCGCAGGTCCGGGTGCTGTGGGATGTGGGGTTGGGGTGCATTGAGGCGCAGGTTTGGGATGCCCCTGTGCTCCCCAGCCGGTGTGATGGGTGCCATTCTCTCCCCAGCTCTCCTCCTGGCCGTCAGGATCAACAGCAAGGGCCGGGAGGTGCTGTACCTGGCCAAGGGTGACTCTGTGAAGCTGGGCTGCCCCTACATCCTCGAGCCCGAAGACAATGGTCCCCAGGGCGTGGGCATCGAGTGGATCCAGACCACGCCTGAGCGGACCGGCCCGGAGAATGTGGTGAGTGTCACTCGTCCCGGCAGCTGCCATCTCACCATGCAGGCAGGGCAGGCAGGGCTGGGACGGACCAGATGGAGCCCAGCAGAGCAGGCAGGACAGGCAAAGTCCGGCAGAGCAGGGAAGGACCAGGCAGGACAGGCAGAGCCAGGCAGGGTCTGGGAGTGCTGGGCTGGGAAGGACCAGGCAGGGCAGGGAAGGACCAGGCAGAGTCTGGCAGGGCAGGGAGGGAACTGGCAGGGCAGGCAGAGCCAGCCAGGCACTGGGCATTGCATTTCCCTCCCCAGCTGGCAGTCCCGGGTCCCCCCCACCCAGACCAGCCCTGTTCAGTTTCCCCGCTTGCTCCCCCCAGTTCCTGTCCTACCACGACCACCATGTCAACTACGGCAGTGGCTCAGGGCTGCAGGACCGGGTGGCCTTCGTGCAGAATGACCCCAGCCAGTACGATGCCTCCATCCACCTGGCCGACCTGCAGGTCTCTGACACTGGCACCTACAAGTGCCGGGTGAAGAAAAACACTGTGGCTGTGCATGAAGTCATCGTCACTGTGCAAGGTGAGCCCTCCCCCCCTCCCCCATGTCCCCTTCCCAGGTGCCCCGGGTGGCCCCTGGTGGCCCTGGCAGTGACAGTGTCCCTCTCCCTGCAGAGAAGCCGGCCATCCCGCAGTGCTGGACCGAGGGGGAGCTGATAGAGGGGAGCAGCGTCCTGCTGCGGTGCTACAGCCGGGGCGGCACCTCCCCATTCGCCTACCACTGGACCAAGTTGGCTGATGGCTACAGTGGGGGACACCTGCCCTCCGGCACCATCCAAGGTGGGTGCTGGTGGGGCTGCACCCACCCAGGGGGAGGAGGGGATACCCAGGTGCAGGGGATGTTCATGGGGGGTGTGTCCCTGTCTGTGGGTGCACGTGTTGGTGGGTGCCCATGGCTGTGTGCAGCCAGGTATGTGGGTGTCTGTGTGCACCTGTGTTCATGGGTGTCCATGTCTGTATGTGCCCTTGTCCGTGTGCTCCCATGTCCGTGTGCTCCCATGTCCCTGTGCACCTGTGTCCGAGGGTGCAGGTGCTGGCAGGGGTGCGGTGATGGGGCTGATGGGGCCATCTCTCCCCACTGCAGGACGTTCTCCTGGCGACCTGTTAATCCATAGCCTGTCAGTGGTGCACACCGGTGTCTACCAGTGCCGTGTCACCAACCGTGTGGGCTACTCTGTGTGCCAGCTCAACCTCAACCTCGCACCAAGTAAGTGCCACTGCGGGGGGGGTGGTACAGCACAGTCAGGGTGCTGTCGGGGGCTGACTCTGCATGCCAGGGTGCCACCAGGGGCATGGTGACCAGTGGGCAGCTGGTGGGGAGGCTGGTGGTGACAGGCTGTGCTCCTGTGGCAGGAGGAAGGCAGGCGGGCATCATCGTGGGCTCCATCCTGGGCTCCCTCCTGCTCCTCAGCCTGCTCGGGCTCCTCATCTGGGCGCTGATCTGCCGCTACCGTCGGAAGGAGTGCCAGCGGACCTGCAGCGACTGCAGGTGAGGGGCACAGGGGCACAGGATGGGCACAGGGCCAGCGGGCACCAGCGGGTGCCACTGGGCACTGACGGGAATCACTGGGCACTACTGGGGACCGATGGGCACCCATGGGCACTGCTGGGTGCCACCAGGCACTGATGGCCACTGTGGGTCACTTATGGGTACCACCAGACAATGATGGGGACTGATGGGCACCGATGGGTGCTGATAGGCACCACTGGGAACCACCAGGTACCAATGGACCCCAATGAGCACTGGTGGGTGCCATCAGGTACTGATGGGTGCCAGAGGGCACCGATGGGCACCGACGGGTGCTGATGAGTACCACCAGGCACTGTTTGGCAGTGATGGAAACCAGTGGGGTGCCAATGGGTGCCACTGGGTACTGCCAGGCACTGCTGAGCATTGGTGGGCACCGACGGGTGCCACCAGGCACCGATGGGTGCTGATGGGTGCCACTGGGCACTGCCGAGCACTGACGGGTGCCCCTGGGGCTCCCCTTTGCCCGCAGGAGCAGCACAGGCGGCACCATGACCCGCGCCTGCAATGTCTGCGCCCACCACAGCTACTCGCCCCACGGCATCAGCTACATGCAGTGCCAGCATGGCGACGGCGACGAGCGGGCAGCTGCCCTCATGTGCAATGAGGGCATCCGGCACCAGGTCACCTGCCCAGCGCTGTAACCCCCCCGCCAGCCCCGCGCCCGCCCCTGATTCGGCTCCACAGGGGGGAGCGACTGCGAGCCCAGAGCCGGCGGCACCGCCAGGATCCGGCACCAAGCGGCGCATGGCTGCACTGCTGGGGCTCGCCGTGCAAATTGAAGTCAGGAATCCAGCTCCCTCCTCCTCCCCGAAACAGCCCCGGCTTCCAGCAAACTTCGTTTGGGTTCATCAGTCTGTTTTGTTGGTTTTCTTTTTTTTGGCCCCTTTTTTGTATGTCCCCCCCCCTCGCCACAGCCCGGCTCTCGAAGCGGCTCCCAGCCCCGCTCCCAGAGGCATCCCTCAATAGTGCAGCAATATTTATTTCTCTCCAGCCCGTCCCCTCGGTGTCGAGCAGGGACGTGACAGCCCCGAATCGCCCAAACTGGCTGCTCGGCAGCCCCCTGCCTCCGGCCCGGCGCCACCGGCGCCCCCGCATTGGCTTTAGCAATTGGGTGTTATTCGAGACGAGACGCCGTTGGCACCAGGATTTGCAGTTTGGAACAAGAAAAAAATGAAAAGAAATAAACTAAAGTGAATTCAGTGCTGTCCTGTTGTGCCTCGCCTCTCCCTGGCTGGGGAGCACAGGGAGGAGGCAGCTGCCGGCCCCGGCACCGTGATCGGGAAGCTCCTGGGGAGTCGGCGGCACTGATTCACTGGAGGAAAGCTCATGCTGGGATGGGTCAGTTAATGCCATGGCAGCGGCAGGCACCTGGCACGCTCCTGGCAGCGCCCGTCCCAGCGTCCCCGTGCAGACGCTGCTGACACAACCCTGCAGCACCCATGGGTGCTTTCTGGGGCTGCTGCCAGGGCACGCTGCCACATGGCCGCGGGTGCCCCATGCCGGCCAGGACGCCAGGTGAGACAGGACCTGTCGGGGAGCAGTCGCCTGGGGGCTGCTGTGAGGCCTGGCAGGGGTTGGGGGGGAAACAGCCAGCGCAGCCCCCGAGCACCCCGCAGAAGGAGGGAGGGAGGGCGAGCCTCCAACAGGGAGAGAGGGCAGCCCCAAACAGCAAAGGTGCACAGACCCAGGGTGCCCTAACCCTAATCTTAATCCTAACCCTAACGCAATGCTGCCCATAATCCTAAACTTAGCCCCCAGCCCGACTCTTGCCCTAAGGCTGACCCTAACGATAAACCCTACCCTAACCCTAATACTAACCCTAACCTTAACCCTGACCCTGACCTGGACCCTAGCACTAACCCTAAGCATCACGTCAGTCCTAACACTGATGTTAACCCTCACCCAGGTGCTAACCCCAACGCTAATGCTAATCCAATCCCTAATGCTAAGACCAACCCTACCCCCTAACCTTAACCCTGACCCTGACCTGGACCCTAGCACTAACCCTAAGCATCACGTCAGTCCTAACACTGATGTTAACCCTCACCCAGGTGCTAACCCCAACGCTAATGCTAATCCAATCCCTAATGCTAAGACCAACCCTACCCTAACCCCAACCGCGCACCGGCCCCAGGGCTGCGAGT